ATACAAAAAATAACATTGGAATTTACGGGTGCGCGGTATACGCCGAATATAAAAAATTATAGATTAAAAAAATTTAAATATAGAAAAATACTTTTATTTTAAAGAAATAACATACCTTTACCTATATACTTCATTGATTTTCGTTATTACATAAATAGTTCATTATATTCGTCTTCCGCTATCAATTACAATTATTAAAATTTTTTTGTATTATAATTACAACTTTTTTTGTATTATCTGTAAGGTGGGACCTAAACATGTCCCACTCTAAAAGGCTTTCTGGTTTTCTTACGCAACCAGGACGGATTTGCCAGATGTTTTTTACCCACAATTTAGCACCATTTTTGTCCATCCAGAATCACATTATTGCTCTTTCAATTCTAGCCCTCACATGCATGTCAAATTCAGTTCTTTTATTTTTTCAAAAGATAGGGAAAAAAACTTTTTATTTACGATCTTGAAAGACGAGATATTGCACATGTACAATCCAAATTTTCGTGCGCGTTATACGAAGAGTATATCTTAAAATTTAAAAAAGTAATTAGAAATTACGGGTGTGCGTTATACGCCGGGGTATACCTTGTATATTTTACCTGGCCGGTTCCATTTACTTCATCAATTCGAATGTTTACCATCAAAAAGTAAGCACTATTTTAGATAGAGTTGCAGGGGTTCTTAAAATTATGCATGGTGCAAGTACCCTGTATCTTTTACCTGGCCTGTTCCATATACTTCATAAATTTGAATGTTTACCAGCAGAAAGTAAGCATAATTTTAGATAGAGTTGCAGGGGTTCTTAAAATTATGCATTGTGCTAGTACCCTGTATCTTTTACCTGGCCGGTTCCATATACTTAGTAAATTTTCGAATTTATTACTCATCCGGTTCCTAAGTGCATCAACAGAGATTGCAATAAGATTTTTGTGTGTTAAATATTTACCAATATAATTTGTGTAATGAAAATACAATGATAGTGTAATCTATAATTTTAAATTCATATCAATGATTTATACTTTTTAAAAAAAATGTTTTATTTTATTTAATTTTTTTCCCTCATTGTTTATTGGTTTGACACATTTAATTTAGTCGCCATATTCTAACTCCTATTTTGGAAATTTATAGTAGCATTTTATTTTTCATATTGATTCAGTATTGTTAAAAATTAGTTTTGGAGTATGTATATTATCTTTTAAGGTATGAGACCCATATACTGTAACGCATATTTTATAGTAATTTTTGTGCAGTAACTTTGAGGAATAAAAGGCCGAATTTAGCTTTCTTTGAAATTTCTGTCAGGTGTTTCCTGAACTTTGTTTTTGGTATAAACCTTTTACCCTAATCATGATTTAGGGTTTGAGTACAATAGACATCTTGTTGATGTGCCCTGCTCTTCGGAGCTGCCCAACCTAAGTCTAATGTTTCTTTGTTAGTTGTTTAAAAATTTCATTACTTATTAAAATTTTGATTTTTAACTTGTCTCTTTCTAAGAACCAAACTAAAAATTTAATATTTTTGTAAAAATATTGAAATTTATGTTTTTTAATGAAAATTGTGAACAGGATTTCAGTTCACAATTTAAAAAAAAAAATTAAATAAATTTTACAATTTTTTCAAGCTGCTAATTTCTATTCATTCTCTTAAAATTTCATAATAGGATTTTTTATTTTTTTTAACTTATGCAAGAGTCCTAAAATTATTGAAATAGCAAAACATTTAGAATAGATATCTTAAATGCTTTGAACAATTTGAGTTTGATTCCTTAGTCCAACGTATTAAATTTTTAAAATTCTGGAATTGCCACTAATTTTAAATCAAATAAGATAATCAATTGTGATATAGCACTAATGCCTTTGCATAAGAGAATTAAAACTTTTAAATGAATTTGCTATATTCTAACAACTGAGCAAAATTAAATTCATTACATAGTGTAAATAAAATTTTGCATTGAAAACTGTGAAAATCAAATGAAAAATAAAAATTAAAAAAGCAGAATTTTTCTAAACAATGACACATGCGATATTAGCTAAACAGAAATATTTTTTTTCCCGAATGCATTTCATTTATGAAATAAACCTCTGCATTATCAGAGTCTTTAGTAATTGAACATGACCCCAATTAGCTGGCATCATCAAAATTCAATAATAATTGATAATTCACTTTTTTTAAAATCATTAATTGGTAATGGCAGCTCTTTCTTGTCAAGGTTTATCTTGCAACAATTTTTACTCAAATATTATAAATTTTTTGGACTATATGTTTTTGCAAGATCCAGCAGAGAAAAGCACTTTTTAAGATGTTTAAAAACATTTTCACGATTTATTACCTTATAAAGATTGTTGAAACCTGTCTATCCATAGTTCAATATATCTTCAAACCCTAACATTATTGCTTTTAGATTATCTTTAAAACAGTTTTAATAATTTTAGAAACAAATATGAACCCTGTCTGTGGTGTCTTCCAAGGCCGTAGCCAGGATTTTTTTTCGGGGGAGGGGGGATATGGTAAGAAGCAAGGACGGTTTCAGACATGCAAAGTAGGGGGAAAACATTGTAACAAATATTGTTTATTCTGTTGTTTGCAAAAGTTAAACTAGTAATTAAAAAATATTACATAATAATTATTTTTCAATTAATATTACATAATAATTATAATCAATTTGTAAACAAAGTTTACAAAGACATGCGTCAGGGATTTGAAGAAAATTTTTCGATTACTTTTTTAGGACAAACCGGAATATTCCGAAATATGCTTAATAAAGTTAGTTAATAAAAGGTTTTTGACAGTTTTTGTTTTTCTTTTTACTGAGAGGCTCAAAGAAAGACTAAAAAGTTTGAATCCCAGAATTTCGGGGGGGAGAGATTTGTCCCGACGGTCCCCCCCCCCTGNTATAATTATTATAATTATAAGAACATATAAGAATTATCATTCTCATGATTAATATTATTTCTTCAAAGAACTTGACTGTTTTGATTGTTCCGACCTTTGCTCGACATTTTTCTAGGTAAAAACTAGCAGTTATTCAGAAATGAAGTAAAGCTATCAAAATAAAATATAAGCTACTTACCAAAACTATTAGTTTTCGTCATTTTTTCTTACACAGAAATGTCAATCATCTAAAATTTTGATATTTTCTTGAAATTATTCTCAGCTATTTTGATTGAAATACTTTACGCAACAGTCTTTGAAAAAATGTGCAGCTTACCGACTACAGTACAGGGCTGAAAGACCATATATATCGAGACGGAAAACAGTAAAATCTGGTAACAAATAAATTTAATTTTTTTGGTTTTTTTTCCCAGAATAATAAAAATCCATAACTACCAATTGTTTTTACGGATGCAATTTTTATATTGAATTGCTTCTTCGCCGTGAAAAATTTCCTTACGGTGATTTGTTATTGTTGAGAATAGATTAACTCCTCCCGAATATTATCTAATATTGAAATAGTTCTTCTACCAGTATTTTCTCTTTTCTGTCCCGCTTTTAGGCCTGCTACAATACGATAAGCAATCTGTATCGATAAGCTTATAAAACAAAAAATTTTCTCAGGGTCAAATGACCCGATGTGGTAGACAACAGTATACGAAAGGTATTACTTAACATAAACAAAACAAATATAAAAATAGTATAAGAACTGTATATTAATTAGTAATAAAAAGTCAAATTTGCAGAAGTAGTAAAATGATACGTGCATTTTCAATGCAAAAGTTCAAAATGGGTCATTTGACCCCTTATGGTATAATTAGTGTTAATAAAGTTAGTTAATAAAAGGTTTGATTCGATAGTTTTTGTTTTTGTTTTCACTGAGAGGCTCAAAGAAAGACTAAAAAGTTTGATTCCCAGAATTTCGGGGGGGGGATTTGTCCCGACGGTCCCCCCCTGGCTACGAGCCTGGTGTCTTCCCATAAAACATAATCAAATTATTTTATAATTTTTTTTTAAATACTACTTCTGTTTTAAACTATCAACTTGTGGGATTCCTTGCAACAAGTGGCTTCCATGTTATTCAACGCTGCAAGTTCTATATTGCAAGATTTTTTTATATATATATATTTGTCCATGGACTTAACATTTGGAGAGATAAAAAAAAAATCATACATGTTGTCACGTAAAATCTGTATTATCTTATCTCAGTACTGAACTTAAATAAATCAGATCCTTTGATTGGGCAAAGCTGATGTTCTTATAATGAATTGCATTTAACCAACTGCCAATTAGATTGACTTGAAATAATCAATTTGTCTTAATCTAATTTTATTTATTAAGAACTTCATATAGTTCATATTCAATATTCATATAATTTTATATTAGGTGATGATAGTACAGTTGAAGAACCTCGTGTGCTTGGTTTGGCCATGGTTCCTGGACATCATATAGTCTCCATAGAAGTAGAAGTTGACAGTGATGCAACCACAAATTCTGAAGTGTTATGATTCTAAATATTTTAAAATATATTGTAAATATTTTGTTCACCCTAATAAATGTAAAATAGAAGCTATTGTGCAAAAAACATATTTTATTGCTATAAAAATAGTGTATAAATTGATCAGAGCTTTAGTCAAATCTATAAAGACAATTGGGTATATCAGTTTTGTTTAAAACAATAAAAATTTAGGCACATTTAGAACAATATTAATTTCAATTAATACATTTCTATGATTTGGAAAGTATTAGTTGAGCCTATATTCTTTAGTAAGATTCCCTGCAATAACAATCCTTTGAATTTCACTTGTACCTTCATAAATTTCTGTTAGTCTTGCATCTCTGTAATGCCTTTCAGCAGGCATGTCAGTTACACAGCCCATACCACCTAACATTTGAATAGCCTAAAATAAACAAATGCTCTTAAAACAACTCCAATTAATTTGTTTGGAATTTTTTTTAATGAATAATTGTATTATTAGGCTGATTATCAAGAACAAATTGATAAAAGTATTTGCATCTGTACGACTAAGGTGCTATGTTGCATTATAACAGAACTATATACTCTCACATAAACTAAATAACTTAATGCATTGAAATGAGATATGCTAAAAATCTGATAACACTACCGAACTGCACAATTTTATTTTTGTTTAAATTAACTAAGTTTGTTTATTTATAAGAGCAATTTATATTCCTCTGCTTTAGAATACAATAGGACTGAGGAAAGTGAACAATATATTTTGATGAAATTCTTTAAAAGTTTTGAATAATACTTTCTACTTTTAATATGAAAGGGATAAATTACATTGTACTAAATTTACTCCATTAAAGTTTAATTTGCAAATTATGAATACTGTATATTTCGTTTAGGTCAACTGCATTAATATAGTCTATAAAAGCAAACTGCATTAAGAACCAATAAATAAACAAGACATTTTTCAGAAGAAAAAAAAAATCACATTTTGGTATTTTGATCGTTATTAGTATTTTTATTGCATGCATTCATTGCAAAAAAAAAAAAAACTCTTAGAATAAGGTCATTTTTAAAAAGCAGAAATTTAACTTTAGAGCAACTCTTCACAGCTATTCAAAAGCTTAGAAAAAAGTGAATTAGCACATTTGTATTTTGTACAAAATACAGCATTATTCAAAAATAAATTTATTCTAACTCTTTTGCATAAAACTAGGTACTTGAAAATATCAATATGTAATTATGCAATTTTTTTATAAATTTATATATATATATATGTCTTGAACATATTACCTGATGTGACACAAATGTTGCAGTCTCAGAAGCTGCAAGTTTAGCCATTGCAGCTTCCTGAAAAATAATATTTCTTTAACAATTGAAATAAATAAATTAACACTACTGTATCATAAGAAAGTAGTAAATGCTGCTGTTTCGAAGGTAGTATGACAGATAGACAGCTTTTTATGAATATTACATTTAGTACTGGTAAATATGATACAAATGCTGAACACTACTGAATCAAAAATTAGTATTTAGGAAAGTTACAAAAGTCCCAAAAGCAGAAAGTTTCCTGAAATATAATATTTCACTTATAAATGTTTCTATTGATGAAACAAAATAAATGCTGAACATTATTGAGTCAAAAGAATATACTCAATAAGTAAATTTTTCAGAGATTCAAACCGAGTCATCAATATTTTGCTTTTAATGTAGCAAATAATCAAAAAGTGTAATATAATATTGAATCAAGTATATTCAATGAAAATCATCAAAAATTGTTTGATAAACAGAATTTTTGGGCATGAAATCTCATACAAAATAAATTATTTCTATAAAAGAATAGGGGGGGGGGAACGGCTATGATATTTTTAACAGCAAAAACTCTCATCCCTTTCCTAAATTAAAATGACATGTAAAGCAAACATAAATCAAAATTTATTAATTAACAATTAACACAGTTTTTTCTAACATGTATTTTGACTTTAATGAACTAAAAAAATTGATTTGAAATTGATTGAAAATTGAATTGAAAAAGTTGATTAAATTAGTCACTTTAATTTCTATCTCATTAATTCTTATACAATTTTTTATTTCACTTTTCTTTAGGAAGCATATTATACTTTGTTTTAAATTTTACACATGTTACGAATTTCGAAATCTATTATGATGTAAATTATTAAATATTTAAAAGTTTAAGTTAACAAGCTTTTGAAACATAATTCGTTAAATTTGAACAGAACGTCGAGTATAAATCTATTTTAAAAGATGAATTTAATAAACATGTGGTAAAATATTTTCTTGTTTCACACGCGATTTCAATAAGTTAAGATTTCCATTAACCAAATTTGAACGTATATTTAAATTTTGTTCTCACATTTTTTAAATTAACATTTTTACACTTTTATTGAATAAATACCATAAAAAAACCTTGCCCAAACAGAAAGATCCTAAGAGAAAAATGAATTAAAAAAATCGAATCATTTTATAATCGTTATTTGTACAAATTATCAATATGGGAATACAAATTATCTGGGAAGCATCCCTGAGGATGATCCGAAGACATGCCATCACAATTTTGACCCTCTGCAGAGGGGATGGCACCCCCGCTTCGGTAGCCCGACGACCTGCACGTGAAGTCGAGCACTTTACGGTAGAACAGTTTAACGAGGACCAATACTGCACACCCTCGGTCCCTACGCAGACTAATCCGAGTGGTCACCCACCCACACACTGACCGCAGCCAGTGAGGCTTGACTTCTTGTGATCTGCTGGGAACCGTGTCTTAACGATCAGTCCACTGCGGGACACATTCTGTTTTAAATTAAATTTGATTCTTAAATTTTAAAACCAAAAAAAAAAATCCTTACTCCCATTAAATCTGTACTTGTATTTTAAATTAAACTTCTACTTTAAAACAGTGCATATTTGGTTGAAAATTATTTGTTTCACATCGATTTAGAATTCAATTTCCGCATCATAGGTTTTGGTGTATAAGTAATACGGGATAATTCAATAAAAATTATTTAATTTCATGCCTTTGGGAATTTTTGTCCAGCATCTTTCAACATGGCAGCTTTCCATGTTAGCAAACGAGCAGCTTCTAATCTTGTTTCCATATCAGCCAATTTCATTTTAAAATAGAGAACAGCAAATATTCAAATGATATTAAAAATATTTGAACAGTGCGCACAAAAAAGAACCAACCTGAATAATTTTATCTTTGATCTAATGATCGGATCTTTACATGCGACTCATTTTTAATGGTTCGAGGGATTGATCTCAAATATGCTACTTAATCAGAGCAGACAATATTTTAAGTTATGAAATCAGACACAAAAACGTACTTTCTCTGAATAAGCATATCTTTTTTTCTACCGATTCGGATTTCTAATCCTCAAAATATAAAGGGGTAGCCGCAATCTGGGAAATACAGTCCCTACAGTTTGGTTAGAAAAGTAATGTAAAGCTTGAACCACATAATGTGAATTTTACTTTTTGAGTATTTTGCCCTACCTCGAGCAATTTATAAGGATATAGAAAAAATTTTGCACTCAATTATAAAATTTGTTTATGCAAAGATAATTCCATGCAAAAAATAAATTTTTGTAAATATTCATAATTTTTTACAAAATTAATCATCAAAAGAAATTTGAATTATAAGGCATACATTTTTTACATCACTTTAAAATATGTAATTTTGTATGGCAAAATGCGATATTTGACCGAAATCTGTTGAATAGCTTCTGAAAAATCGAATTTTAAATATTAGACTTTTTCAAAATTTTATTTTTCCAGTACTATTATTTAAGTACAAGTAATTATGTATTTTGCCATGTAAAATTACATACTTATATACGATATAAAAAGTAGTTTTTCCTTACAATTCAACTTTTTTTCGACCATTATTTAATAAAAGAATTGAAAATAATAAATGCTTACTAAAATTTATTTTTTTCTTAAAATTATCTTTGGATAAACAAATTTAATAATTGTGTGCAAAAATGTTTAAATTCGCTTAAAAATTTCTCCAGATATGGCGCGTATATGCGTATACGCGATATATTCGCGTATACGCGAAAAGTAAAATTAACATTAAGGGGTCCAAACCATAGGGACTGTATCTCCCAGATTGCGGATTCTACTCTGAATCCATTGAGAAAAAAAAGCATGTTTATTTAGAAAAAGTACATTTTTGTGCCTAATTTTGTAACTTAAAGTGTCATCTGCACTCAGGATCTCCCGAAGATTTTCGCTTTCTGGAGAAATTTGCTTGACTATTCGGCATAATCTGGCTACAGCTCGATATGCGTGCCTATGATATTGGACAAGTCTGAACCTGCATATTCATGAAAATGCTCGTTTTAAATGTGTGTTTACGAAAATCTTTAAACTTAGTTTTTCAATGAGTTTTGTTCTTTTTTAAAGATAATGCAAATAAATCAGTAATGTGACATCGTTCGTCTATTTGCGTAATTCACTTTTTATTACATGAGTTTTTTTTAAAAAAAAGAATTTAAAAATAAAAAGTTTTCACAAGATAGACATGGCTGTTCTAAGTTTATAGTGGTATAATAATATGAGAATGGTATCAAATTAACATTGCAGAATTATGAATTTTAAAACTCGATTTATCTTTTAGAGTTCTAAATCCAAAGATATCGCCTGAAAAATTACATCTGTAAGATACCTAGCCACCAGGGCTATAGAACTGAAGCTACGATTTCCCTCCTCATGACGTCACTGTGTTCACAGATCTCGGAAGATCGCACGCAAAGATATTATGATAACTTTGCATCTTTCTCTTTGTAAAAATAAGTNGAAATCAGACACAAAAACGTACTTTCTCTGAATAAGCATATCTTTTTTTCTACCGATTCGGATTTCTAATCCTCAAAATATAAAGGGGTAGCCGCAATCTGGGAAATACAGTCCCTACAGTTTAGCCAGGAAAGTAATGTAAAGCTTGAACCACATAATGTAAATTTTACTTTTTGAGTATTTTGCCCTACCTCGAGCAATTTATAAGGAAATCGAAAAAATTGTGCACGCAATTGTAAAATTTGTTTATAATTAATAATTCATGCTTTTTTGCATGATAATTTCGGGGAAAAAATAAATTTTTGTAAATATTCATAATTTTTCACAAAATTAATCATTAAAAGAAATTTGAATTATAAGGCATACATTTTAAAATATGTAATTTTGTATGGCAAAATGCGATATTTGAGCGAAATCTGTTGAATAGCTTCTGAAAAATCGAATTTTAAATATTAGACTTTTTCAAAATTTGATTTCTCAAGTACTATTATTCAAGTACATGTAATTATGTATTTTGCTAAGTAAAATTACATACTTATATACGATATAAAAAGTAGTTTTTCCTAACAATTCGACTTTTTTTTCAGCCATTATTTAATAAAAGAATTGAAAATAATAAGTGCTTACTAAAATTTATTTTTTTCTAAAAATTATCTTTGGATAAACAAATTTAATAATTGTGTGCAAAAATGTTTAAATTCGCTTAAAAATTTCTTTAGATATGGCGCAAAAAGTAAAATTAATATTAAGGGGTCCAAATCATAGGGACTGTACTTCCCAGATTGCGGCTTCTACTCTAAATCCATTGAAAAAAAAAGTATGTTTATTTAGAAAAAGTACATTTTGGTGCCTAATTTTGTAGCTTAAAGTATCTCTGTACTCAGGATCTCCCGAAGATTTTCGCTTTCTGGAGAAATTTGCTTGACTGTTCGGCATAATCTGGCTACAGCTCGATATGCGTGCTTATGATATTGGACAAATCTGAACCTGCATATTCATGAAAATGTGTGTTTACGAAAATCTTCAAACATAGTTTTTCAATCTTCTCTAATGAGTTTTGTTCTTTTTTAAAGATAATACAAATAAATCCGTAATGTGACATCGTTCGCCTATTTGCGTAATTCACTTTTTATTATATGAGTTTTTTTTTAAAAACAAGACTTTAAAAATAAAAAGTTTTCACAAGATAGTCATGGCTGTTCTAAGTTTATAGTGGTATAATAATATAAGAATGGTATCAAATTAACATTGCAGAATTATGAATTTTAAAACTCGCTTTATCTTTTACAGTTCTAAATCCAAAGATATCGCCTGAAAAATTACATCTGTAAGATACCTAGCCACAGGGCTGTCTTAACAGCATGCAGAGCCCCCGGGGAAAGAAATGTTTTGGGCCCTTATAACATGTCATACTGCTTAAAATCGAAATAAAAAACTTCACATATAAAATAAACCATTTTTAACATATGCAATAATTTGAACAAATTTAAATACATTTTGATTTAAATGTATTTAAATTTGTTTTTAGTAGACCCAAAACTATTGAATTCACGTAAAAATTTCATTGGAACGTAGAGAAATAGATTTCGGTTGCCTTTTTAAGTTTCCCTGGTGATAAACTATTCAAATTATTGTTGTTTGCTAGATAATCAATCTCTATTTGTAGAAAGAAAAACAAAATACACACTTTATACAATATAATATATTTATTTCAAAATGTATATAAGGTAATTTTGTTTAGTCTTAGTTCTTTTTAATACAATTTATAAAAAGTAAGATTCTCAAGGGCCCCCTGAGTGCCTGGGGCCCTTGGACACTGTCCGGGTACTACCTAGCCACCTCGAATCCGAAGTCATTATTTAGCCCCCTAAATGATAATGCTTAGTGTATAAATAAATAAGGAAAAATAGGCATATAATTCCTCCTTTTGCCATTTAAAGTTTTGTTGAAAAACTGAAAAAGTTCATTTAGCAGTATCCATTTTCGTCAACACCCATATTGAGCTGTGCCAGATTTAAAATCTCATCGACAATTAGCAGGGGAATTCGGATTTATTTATTATTATTTTTTATTTATTTATTTTTTTTTTTTTTGCAGCCACGTACCTTTATGTCTGTAAATGAGTAATAAGTTCCTTACATTTTATATGTGCCTGATTATTTTTTGTATAATCCACAAATTTAAGTAAAAAATCAGCATTTTTTTCATTCCCTTATACAGAACAATTTTAAAGAAAAAATAATTGGGAATGTTTTAATATATATAAACTTGATGTTAATATTTTTATAAACCAATATCGAGAGTTTTTTAATTCTTTGTTTGCCTTCAACTCTGGCGCTCATGTGACGTGTGTGACATCAGGCTATCTTTTGATTCAGTATTCGAAAATTTTTGCAGATTACCAAAATCTTCGTCGTTTGATTTGTTGGACAATGAAAAATCATCCTCTTGATAGAATTAGTTTATTTATCTTTTTTTATATTTCTGTATTAAATTATTCTTTTTTTATTGACTAAAACTAAAAGGAAATCAGTAGCTCATTTTTTTCAAGGAGTTCATGGAGGTTAAGGCTCCTTAATTTCGTCCCCAACAGTCTGATTGAGGCAATGAGGTCAAAATTGTGTACAAACCACCTTTACTTCCTAGACAAGCTGGTATCTACTGTTTGTCTACGATAGGTAATCTGCCAGACATTCGTCTGGAGCTGTGGCGGTGACTATGGTAACGGGGTATGATTATTTCAAGTAGGGATGCGGGGTCCCTCTTTAGGACTGGTTTCGGCAAAAGAAAAGGAGATCTCTTCATCGAAGTCACCCTCCCTAAAATGCCCTCCTCTTGTTTCCATAGCACCAGACTACCGCAGACTTAGTGGCGGTCAGAGTACCTATCTTAGACAAACAGTATCAATCTGAAGAGCTTCAAGCCGCCACTGGGTATCGAATCCCAGTTCGCAACAGTTTAGTGGTTTACTCACTGACTAAATGCGGATCATTTACAAGAAAAATTATATATTAAACCTTTACATCTGTGGTGGAACATAGCATATAATGAAAATATTAGCAACAAAAAAATTTTTCATTGAAGCAAATGAATAAAATGCCTATTTATGATACTGCCAAATTAGGAATTTCATTCGGCAAAATGCTGATTTCTCCCCTAAAAATATAAGTTTGTGGTGCCTGACAAATTCATTAGCATATTTGAGGTCACCATCTTGAATCATTAGGTTCAAGTCCCAGAACGTGAAGATCCAATCATTAGATTAAAAAGTATTCACAGTGATTCGTTTTATTTCGGCGCACTCGTATAATAATATTTTTTTTGTTGCATTAAATAATAATTCTCATGTAAATCCCAACATCTCCAAACAGTAGAAACTATTACCTGTATTGCTTGTTTACTAAGTAAAAAAAAAACTAAACTAAACTCAGTGGCCTACTGTGGGGTGCAGGAACAGATGTTCCGGTCGCGACTTTACACATTGTCGACTCCCGGGCACCTCCACTCGCCGCGGTTTTATTTGTCAACTGTTTCACCGCCTTATCTAGTAACCCTCACTCAGAGGCAACCCTACGCTCGCCTCAATACAGCACTCGCAAAAGTCATAAACGAATCTTCGCGCTCATGGATATTTTTAAAAGTTGCTTGTTGAATTAAGTTAAAATTTTATCCTCGTTTAAGACTAGAAAAATTCAAATAACGAGAACAAAATACTTCGTCCTTCTTTAAAGAAAGAGGAAGAAAAATTTACATACACACAATTATTTCAGTTAATTACATACATATTTCGATTAAAAAAAATTTCAAATAGAAACTATTCTTGTAAATTAAATAAAAATCTGGAGTAATAAAATAGTCAATTATTCAGAATAATCAATTTCTTTTGAATATCTTAATTAATAAACAAAGTTTAAAAAAATAATCCCCTATATAAATCATCACATTATTAAGTGTACATATTTTTGAAGATAAAAGTATTAAAAAAAATTTACGCAGTTTGAAAAATAATTATTTTTATTTCCTTCATTTTTACCATGTGTTTTCAATTGTTTCTATTTTGGAAAAAATATGTATTCTTCAAAATGCTTACAATATCTTAAAAAAATTGCATATATTTTATACTGAACAACTTTTGATTGACAATATTTTCTTCATAAGAGAGTCCTTAAAAAAATTTGAAAATATTTTCATTAAATTTGTTCAAATATTTTCTGTAAAATGCGTGCTATTATGAAAACAAGGAGAAAAAATATTTTTAGTAAAGCCATGACATAAAGAAACAAATCTATGACATATTCACTACTATTTTCGTATAGTTAATTTATTTTTTATAACATCAAATCATATTTATTAAAACTTAAAGTTGTGGCTGCTCAACTTTTTTTAATGTTTCTTAAGTTTGTCAGGGAAAATTCCGATATTTTCCATTTTTCTTGCTTCTATCACTATTATTTGTATATATCTGAAATTACTCACCTTCGTTTTAATTGTTTCCTAATTAATTTTATCATATATTTTGCTATATATATTTATCCTTTCATTCTATGCTTCATTAATTTCATAACTTATCCATCTTGTAACTTTTTATTCATAATTTTATAACAACTTTAGCTTATTAGATTCTATAACTCAACAATTGGTCTATATATTTTATAATTTTTTTATTCAATTTTTGGGCTTCTAAATAAGATATGGAAAAAATACTATGAAAATTATTACATTTATTGTCAATCTAAAATTAGGCCTTTTTTTCCTCCTAAGTGCGAAAACACATTTACTAACTTAAGGTAACGTAATTTAACACCATTCATCTATTTTAATAAGAACGATTCAGAGAAAAGCAGGATCAGAAAAAGTGAGATGTGTATTTTAATTTATATTCTGCTTCAAAAATGAGACAAAAGAGACACAGAAAACTTTTCTGTTATTATTTAATAGTATTCATTAGTCTTTAAAATTCCAAAAGAATTTTTTAGTTGCTGGAATCATATAATAGTCTCATTTGTAACAACTTGTTTTTTAAATTTTTTTTACACAATAGCTTTTATTGTATGTAATTTGCTTTAGAAGTTCAAATATTGATTCTCAGATTGTCATGCAGTCTGTGTGTCTGAAAACTGTATGACCTATTTTATTTTATTTGTTCCTTGCAGAATGGTAATAATTGTTTCTTATTTGATAATAAAAATCTTAACTTTTGCTGAGATAACTGATCGCAAGAGTTTTGTTTTATTATCGTAACATCGATTAATTTTTTTTGAGAAAAGTGTAAGTCCTCAGCCTTTCAACCCAATTGCTTTAAAACTACTTTCTTTATTTAAAGTAAATTATTAAATTTAAAAATTGTTAAGATTCTCTTATTTGACTCAATATCTTGTCTTTAATGAATCAGAAATAAATAAACAGATTGTCCTTAAATTGTTATACAGTTATGATATGAGAATGTCAAAGTTGATGCTTACTGTTTACATTATATTTTTATTTTACAAATCATAAAAAGTTTTCTTTAATCAAAATTGTGTTCACCTCATAAATATACTTTAACTGCCACAAATTTTTAAGTCTTGGCTGCCAAAGCTGTGGACGTATGAAGGAATACGTATGAAGGAATTTATCGTTTGGGACATAACATGTACAAAAAAGTGTCAAATCTAAGTGCAATAGTTTGGACGCAAATATTATTGGCACTGCAAATGGGAATCATGACATCAAATTTAATCATAGATATCAATGTCAGAAAAGTAAAAAATAATAAATTCATGCATAAAGCTGACAGCAACAATCTCCTCTTCATTACACGTACATAAAAAGAAAATGCTTAAAACTCATAAATTGTGTAGTTACTTAAATTAAAGGTTTTAAAAACTAAACAATAAGGTACAAAACCCTTCTGCATTATTGAATATTGTGTCCACATACTTGGTAAAGACACCATAAATTATTTGCAATAAATTTATAAAAATAATTAAAAAGCTATACCCTACACCCACAACAAAACTTTATCCTAAAAAGGAAATAAAAAAGTAAGAAATAAATATGTGTTTCAGGAAGTCCGAATAAAAAGAGAATGATAATACACAAAAAATTTTAAAGCAGCTAAATTTATTCCCACCTCATGTTCACTCATGCGTTTTTTAAATCGTATGTCGCAAGTTAAACATGCGCGAATTAATATTCGAAGATTTTCGCGAGAAAATTTGAAAGCCGACTTGGCGAATGTAAGATTGGCGAATTTCAAAATACGGTGCCAAAGAAGTGTCCGGGAGTCGACAATGTGTAAAGTCGCGTTCCGGTCAGGTGGTCAACCGAACTCGGAACCCCCAGTGTTTAGTTCTCAAGCATGGTTGGTACTCATTTATCGACCCACTGAAGGGATGAAAGGCTGAGTCAACCCTGCCCGGCCCGAGGATCTAACCAAGGACATGAGGCACGGAAGGTTTGTAACATTAAAAATAAAATTTAATTCAAACAATAAATACTATTACCTGTATTGCTTGTTTGCTAAGCAAAGGGTCTCCAAATACTAATCTATGTGAAGCGTAAAGAATAGAACAATCAAGAGCAGCCTAAAATATATGAACAATATGAAATAACGACTATTAAAGTAAATCAGCAGTCAGAAAGTAAAAAAAAAAGCATTTTAAATACATAATGAACAAAATGAATGAATGAAAGTCTAATTGTTTTTATTTGTTAATATCCCAGTGGAGAACATAACAGGGTTATTGCAGAAAGAATTTTTCATTTGAGAAACAAAAAATTTTGGTTTTATTCCCTGCACAATTTTGTGTAATTTTTTTTTCTTCTCCTTTTTATTTTAATTCCGTAAGAAATTTTAAACAATATTTTTTTTTCTTCTCTGCAGAATTATTTTCAAACGATGTATTTCTCGTATTTTGGAGGTGGAAGAAATACTTATGATTTTCCCCTTTACAAATCAAATCAAATCTGGCATGACTGTGAGTAGGAATTTTGTTACGAACTCAGATTTGTAGTAAAAGAGATAATAAATCATAGTGGTATATTTGTCCATCCTTTTTTTTATTTAGTTAAAATAAAATGTATTCTATATTTTTGACCTTTATTAAATCGCTTACAGTAATTGCATCAGAAATATATATAGTGTTTTGATCATTTTTGGAAAATAATGCTACGAATTTTTATGTTTTTTTTCTTTTCAGAAAAAATCTCGATGTCTTTCATTGCTCAGTTAATACTTTTGATATTTTCATGATTTTTTTTTTTTAAAGAAACATATTCCGACACATGCATTTTATCAATTTATCAAGCATTACCGTAGCATGCGGATCGGGGAATATAAGAATCTCCCAAAACAGAAAAATTATTTATATATACAGTAAAAAAAATTAAGAAAGAAAAATGATACTATGTGTCAATAAAATAATTAAATAAATTAAAATAAATACACTAAGTCAAAGATCAGTTAACCGATTTTACAGAGAAAGAGTATTTAAATTTTTTACTCGGATTTATAATGTATCTCAAGTAGTTAAANTAAGATTTTCATTTTCAACAGTTTTTTTGACTTAACAATTTTTTCAGTTTCAAAAGTATTTTGTTTAAAGATCACATTACAGTTATTCTGCAAGAAGTATTCCTCATAATACCAATTTATGTTATCTCTTCAGTCATGATGACAAAAATTTATAAACATTTGTTAAAAATGTGTAATTTAAAATGTAAAACACAAAAACATTTTTACAGGAAAAATTTAATATGAAATTAGATTTGAGTCTTGTTTACCTTGTTTGAAAGCAAAATAAAATAAAAATGACACAGTGGTTGTTATTCTGAAGACCAAGACTTCAGTATTGTCTTTATTTCACTTTATGTATTATTTACCTTTCATAATTATCACTTTAATAGCAAAATGTCTGTAATTTTTTTTTTATGTCCAAAAATTTACCTTCTATACCCTTTTTTCCTTCTTATATTTTTCTTTCTACTTTCTTTTATTTATTTATTTGTACTTTTATTTGGTATTTCTATTGCAAATATTAACCAGGATTTCAGGAAAAATGTGTAAGGACAAACTGCTTTTATAATTAGAAAAGGTGATCAGTCTTCTCAGATTTTGCATTACAACCTGTTTAACACAATCGCTAATTGAAATCCAAAACAAACTTTCAAATTTAATATGGTATTAAGTTAATCAGTTTTAATTTTTGACTGATTTGGCTATTTTCCTTATTTTTAATCTGAAGTGCAAGTTTGGTTAATTTGCAAATTACCCTTAATTTCTTTTTTTTTTATTATTTATATCTTTCTTTCTTTTCTTTTTTTGGACATAATTCTTTTTTTTTTTTCAAAAATTTTAGTTCGGACATTTTTTAAAGTAATTTTTGTGCAGAGATTTTAATTGGTAATTTAATTTGTCACAATTGTTAGGGAATTCAAATATTTTCATTTCTATTTTAAACATGTTTCTGAAGTGTATTTGGTTACTAAATTTTTCAATTTGTGTTTGATCATTTTCCTATCTGTATGCTGGAATTAAAAAGTTCAGAAATGAAGAAACAATTTGCTTATGGAAATTACTGAGCTAGAACAGAGCTATGAGCTAATTACCAACGTTGGACTAAAGCATTAATGTTTGGTTACTCTTCAATTCAAATTCCAAAAACAAGTATTTTATTCATTTTCCAAATTTTTTGATTAGTTTGAACATTTCTTGGTTTAATTTTTGCCACACCGTAATAGCATTCATATATTAAAATTGAATTTCAATAATTATTGCAGTTGCATTACGAAGAGAAAAAAATTTAAATGGCATTTTCATCTTACCCCTACACACTATAGTAAAACAGAAATATAAATTCTACTAACCAAAAAATCATAGAAGCTGTAACACATAAAACAATAAATTTGAAAATAATTTCTCGAAACATTTCTTATGACAATCAATTCACTGAAAATAAAAATTTCAACAGTAAATACGATTAATGTATAAAAAATAATTTTTCAATTGAAACATCAAGAATGAGAAGAAAAAAAAATTAAAATAATAATCAATAAAAATTCAAGAAATTGTTTTATGAGAATTGAAAAAAAAATTAACACAAAAGGATACATGAAAAAGTTCGAATTAATCTTAGGAGATATTTTGAAAACTGCAACATCAGAGATGAAAGTGCGTTGAAATTCCATGAACAAAATTCCAAAAGCAAAGACGAGAGCTGCTAGGGAAAAAATTTGCTTCTTCGTTAAGATGAATCGTAAATTAACACTGAATGGAGAAATTGAAGCTTATTTTTCTTTGAGTTCTGAGTAGGTGGGAGGGAATGTCAAACATCTAAGGAGATCATCGTAAACCATTCCGTTCATATATAAACAAAATTAATGAATGAAAGTCTAATTGTTTTTATTTGTTAATATCCCAGTGGAGAACATAACAGGGTTATTGCAGAAAGAATTTTTCATTTGAGAAACAAAAAATTTTGGTTTTATTCCCTGCACAATTTTGTGTAATTTTTTTTTCTTCTCCTTTTTATTTTAATTCCGTAAGAAATTTTAAACAATATTTTTTTTTCTTCTCTGCAGAATTATTTTCAAACGATGTATTTCTCGTATTTTGGAGGTGGAAGAAATACTTATGATTTTCCCCTTTACAAATCAAATCAAATCTGGCATGACTGTGAGTAGGAATTTTGTTACGAACTCAGATTTGTAGTAAAAGAGATAATAAATCATAGTGGTATATTTGTCCATCCTTTTTTTTATTTAGTTAAAATAAAATGTATTCTATATTTTTGACCTTTATTAAATCGCTTACAGTAATTGCATCAGAAATATATATAGTGTTTTGATCATTTTTGGAAAATAATGCTACGAATTTTTATGTTTTTTTTCTTTTCAGAAAAAATCTCGATGTCTTTCATTGCTCAGTTAATACTTTTGATATTTTCATGATTTTTTTTTTTAAAGAAACATATTCCGACACATGTATTTTATCAATTTATCAAGCATTACCGTAGCATTCGGATCGGGGAATATAAGAATCTCCCAAAACAGAAAAATTATACATTAAATTTTTCCTTAACTTAAACTTTTTTTATTCTTCATTTATTTTTGTAATTAATTTTTAACAACGCAATTTAAATATATAGCATGTTATTCTTAGCTTTAAAGCACACACGTGCTATAATTGGTAGACCCGGACTTAAACTTTAAGTTGATTCTTTAATTAATCGGAACTTTCCTAGCAATATAATGAATTTAAATCTATTAGCAATATGTTTATTTTAATTTTATTCATATTCTTTTTTATGTTCAAAACTTTGTATGTTATACCCACGTGTTTGTGTCGGATTCTGTGGTAGTACTGTGCGCGTTTTTTTGTATCTCGTGGATTAATGTGTATATAGCGTAGGGAATGCTTTAAAATTAATTTATAAATATTTTACCTCTATTCTATTCATTGTTTTGATTTTTTTTTGTCAAAAAATGCCGGAAAACGAACGGCCAGGAGACGTGGTGAATGAAGGAGCTGAAGTTAACATTCAACCTTCTCAAATTTCTCGCGTAGCAATTAAACCACCTCCATTTTGGAAAAATAATCCCGTGTTATGGTTTGCACAGTTAGAATAGCAATTTTCAATTTCTCAAATTTCTACCGACGCTACCAAATTTCATCACGTTGTAGCGGCCATTGAATCTGATATACTTAACTCTGTTCAGGATTTAGTTTTAAACCCACCTGCTGCAAACAAATATACAGCTTTAAAAAATCGCTTAATTAGTATTTTTTCTGAGAGTGAAGCTTCTAAAATTAGAACACTTTTGCAAGGACTAGAGTTAGGTGATCAACGTCCCTCCTATTTGTTAGCTCGAATGCGAGAACTAGCAGGATCTCATCTTAGCGAAAACATTCTTAAATCGCTGTGGTTAGCCAGATTGCCTCAAAATATACAAGCTTTTCTTGCTGCTTCAAACGAAAATTTAACTCAATTAGCGGCAATGGCTGATAAGATTATTGAACTCGCTAGCCCTATTCAAATAAATTCTGCTGAATCAGTTGTAACTAGCGCTAATCCTACACTTTCTGATCAAATTTCTGAACTTACTAAACAAATTAATGAACTAAAAACTAGTTTTCAGGAAGCTCAGCAAAATAGACAAGGACGTGAGCGAACTAATACCTATAGGGGTAATAGAAATCATAGTAGGTCCCGTTCTAGACAAAATTATTACCGTGAACCACAGAATAACATGTGTTTTTATCACACCAACTTTGGAGATAGAGCTAGAAAATGCAATCCCCCATGTACTTTTCAAAATTCGGGAAACCAACAGGGCAGCCACTCCAGGCCATGAGTGGCGAACGCCATATTGATCGTATTTATTTGGCCGATCCCTCTACGAAATTAAAATTTTTGATAGACACAGGCGCAGATGTTTTAGTCATTCCGAAATTTTGTCCAAAAGCTAATTATCCAGAAACTTTGGTCCTATATGCAGCAAATGGTTCTAAAATCCAAACATATGGTACTAAATTAATAAATCTTAGTTTAAATTTACGCAGGAAATTTTCTTGGAACTTTATTATAGCCGATGTAACTCAGGCAATCATTGGTGTTGATTTTTTAAATCATTTTAATTTATTGGTTGATGTTCGTAACAACTGTTTAATTGATAAATTAACTAATTTAAAATCAACTGGTTTCCCCTCAAATAAATCAACTCAAATTACAGAAGTTACTCCAGTTCTAAATAATTCACCTTTTCAGCAAATTTTAAATGAATTTCCATCGTTGACAAACCCTTCAATAGTAAAAAAACTAAATTCCGAATGGCTGGTTTATCACCATATTGAGACTCTCGGACAACCCGTTTATGCGAAACCCAGAAGACTCTCATCCGATATCCTTGAGGCAGCAAAGAAAGAAATTGAGTATTTGTTAGAACAGGGAATTATTCGCCCATCAAAAAGCCCCTGGGATAGTCCGCTTCACATGGTAAAGAAAGCAAATGGTGATTGGAGACCATGTGGGGATTATCGTCGTGTTAATGCAATAACCGTCCCCGACCGATATCCCGTTCCACATATCCAAGATTGTACGCAACAATTCGAGGGCATGACAATATTTTCAACTCTAGATTTAACCCGAGCGTACCACCAAATTCCTATTTTTCCTGGGGATATTCCAAAAACAGCGGTTACAACGCCATTTGGCCTCTTTGAATATGTATATATGCCCTTTGGCTTGAGAAACGCTGGTCAAACTTTTCAAAGGTATATACATCAAGTTTTGTCAGGGTTTAATTTTTGTATCCCATATTTTGACGATTTGTTTATTGCATCCAAAAATGCAGATGAACACAGAGAACATTTAAGACAAATTTTCACTAGGCTTGAAGAACACGGGTTAAAACTTAANTCAAATTATAGAAATTACTCCAGTTCTAAATAACTCACCTTTTCAGCAAATTTTAAATGAATTTCCATCGTTGACAAACCCTTCAATAGTAAACAAACTAAATTCCAAATCGCTGGTTTATCACCATATTGAGACTCTCGGACAACCCGTTTATGCCAATCCCAGAAGACTCTCACCCGATATTCTTGAGGCAGCAAAGGAAGAATTTGAGTATTTGTTAGAACAGGGAATTATTCGCCCATCAAAAAGCCCCTGGGCTAGTCCGCTTCACATGGTAAAGAAAGCAAATGGTGATTGGAGGCCATGTGGGGATTATCGTCGTGTTAATGCAATAACCGTCCCCGACCGATATCCCGTTCCACATATCCAAGATTGTACACAACAATTTGAGGGCATGACGATATTTTCAACTCTAGATTTAACCCGAGCGTACCTCCAAATTCCTGTTTTTCCTGGGGATATTCTAAAAACAGCGGTTACAACGCCATTTGGCCTCTTTGAATAGGTATATATGCCCTTTGGCTTGAGAAACGCTGGTCAAACTTTTCAAAGGTATATACATCAAGTTTTGTCAGGGTTTAATTTCTGTATCCCATACTTTGATGATTTGTTTATCGCATCCAAAAATGCAGATGAACACAGAGAACATTTAAGACAAATTTTCACAAGACTTCAAGAACACGGGTTGAAACTTAACCCTTCAAAATGTGCTCTCGGTAAACCGCAAGTTTCATTTTTAGGGTTCTTAATTACACCATCGGGCTTGAAGCCTTTACCCGAGAAGGTGAAAACGATAATCGATTACCCCCAACCGAAAGATATTGCGGAGCTTCGCAGATTTTTAGCAATGATTAATTTTTATCGGCGATTTTTACCAAATGCAGCTCAAACCCAAGCCCCATTGCACGATTTTTTGAAAAACTCCAAGAAAAATGATATAACTTTGATCCCTTGGAACGATGTCGCAGTGGAAGCATTTAATAAATGTAAACTTAAATTAGCCAATTCTGCTACTTTGTCATATTTTTCTCCTAATCATAATTTATCAATAATGGTAGATGCATCTGATTCTGCCATAGGTTCTGTGTTGCAATCCCACACACCATCTGGCATCCGCCCAATAGCATTCCATTCTCGTAAATTAATCGCAACAGAAAAAAACTACAGCACTTATGATAGGGAGTTATTAGCCATTTACAGTACAATAAAGCATTTCAGGTATATTTTAGAAGCCCGACAGTTTATCATATTTACTGATCATCGCCCTTTAATTTTCGCCTTCAATAAAAAATCCGAATCTTGTTCTCCACGCCAACTTCGGCAGTTAGACTTTATTGCACAGTTCAGCACAGATATCAGACACATTTCCGGTTCGAGTAACACTGTTGCAGATGCTCTTTCTAGAGTAAACGCAATTAACCTTACCACAACTGATCTTAAAAGCTTAGCCGATAGTCAAAAGACTGATGAGGAACTCAAAATTTTAATCTCTTCTAAAAACTTATCAATAGATTTAAAACCTTTTAAAATGGGAAATAATCTCGAAATCTTCTGTGATGTCAGTAAGGAAAAAGTACGATCATATATACCCAAGAAACTTCGCCATGAAGTATTCTGCTCATTGCACAACTTATCGCACCCTGGTATACGCGTTACCAAGCGTCTAGTGCAAGATAGATTCATATGGCCGTCCATGATGAAAGACGTAACAGAATGGACTCGTTCCTGCCTATCTTGCCAACGAAATAAGGTCCAAAGACACACCGTAAGTCCATTACAGCCTTTCAACCTACCTTCTGAGAGATTCCAGCACGTGCATATTGACTTAGTTGGACCCCTTCCACCCTCTGATGGTTTTAACTATTTGCTGACGTGTGTTGATCGCTACACTAGGTGGCCGGAGGCCATCCCTCTCAGTGACGTCTCAGCGGAAACAGTATCCAAGGCCTTCGTCGCTCATTGGGTATCTCGCTTTGGAGTGCCTGCTATCTTGACTACAGACCAAGGCCGACAATTTCAATCCCACCTCTTCTCCTGCCTGAAGTCTATGTTTGGAATACAGCGAATCCGCACAACCCCCTACCATCCTTCTTCAAACGGTATGGTTGAACGGTTCCACCGTTCTCTGAAACAAGCTCTTCNACCAAAAAATATTGCAGAGCTTCGCAGATTTTTAGCAATGATTAATTTTTATCGGCGATTTTTACCAAATGCAGCTCAAACCCAAGCCCCATTACACGATTTTTTGAAAAACTCCAAGAAAAATGATAAAACTTTGATCCCTTGGAACGATGTCGCAGTGGAAGCATTTAATAAATGTAAACTTAATTTAGCCAATTCTGCAACTTTGTCATATTTTTCCCCTAATCATAATTTATCAATAATGGTGGATGCATCTGATTCAGCCATAGGTTCTGTGTTACTATCCCACACACCATCTGGCATCCGCCCAATAGCATTCCATTCTCGTAAATTAACCGCAACAGAAAAAAACTACAGCACTTATGATAGGGAGTTATTAGCCATTTATTGTACTATAAAACACTTTAGGTATATTTTAGAAGCCCGACAGTTTATCATATTTACTGATCATCGCCCTTTAATCTTCGCCTTCAATAAAAAATCCGAATCTTGTTCTCCACGCCAACTTCGGCAGTTAGACTTTATTGCACAGTTTAGCACAGATATCAGACACAATTCCGGTTCGAATAACATTGTTGCAGATGCTCTTTCTAGAATAAGCGCAATTAACCTTTCCACAACTGACTTAAAAAAACTTAGCCGATTGTCAAAAGACTGATGAGGAACTAAAAATTTTAATCTCTTCTAATAATAATTCAATAGATTTAAAACCTTTCAAAATGGGAAATAATATTGAAATCTTCTGCGATGTCAGTAAGGAAAAAGTTCGTCCTTATATACCCAAGAAACTTCGCCATGAAGTATTCTGCTCATTGCACAACTTGTCGCACCCTGGTATACGCGCTACCAAGCGTCTAGTGCAAGATCGATTCATATGGCCGTCCATGTTGAAAGACGTAACAGAATGGACTCGTTCATGCCTATCTAGCCAACGAAATAAGGTCCAAAGACGCACTGTAAGTCCATTACAGCCTTTCAACCTACCTTCTGAGAGATTCCAGCACGTGCATATCGACTTAGTTGGACCCCTTCCACCCTCTGATGGTTTTAACTATTTGCTGACGTGTGTTGATCGCTGCACTAGGTGGCCGGAGGCCATCCCTCTCTGTGACGTCTCAGCGGAAACAGTATCCAAGGCCTTCGTCGCTCATTGGGTATCTCGCTTTGGAGTGCCTGCTATCTTGACTACAGACCAAGGCCGACAATTTCAATCTCATCTCTTCTCCTACCTGAAGTCTATGTTTGGAATACAGCGAATCCGCACAACCTCCTACCATCCTTCTTCAAACGGTATGGTTGAACGGTTCCACCGTTCTCTGAAACAAGCTCTTCGATGCCACAACACTAAATGGACTGAATCTTTACCAGTAGTTTTACTAGGATTGCGAACTTGCTTCAAGGAGGATCTCAATGTATCTTGTGTTGAGATGGTCTATGGACAAACTGTCGTCTTACCTGGAGAGTTCTTTGAACCGCCTTCCGATGCTCCAAGTGATTCTTCAACTTATCTTTCAAAACTTAGAGAAACCTTCAGAACTCTAAAACCTACACCTGCGTCCTGCCACTTAAAATCGTCATGCTTCGTACATCCAGCTTTAGAAACGTGCTCTCATGTGTTCGTAAGAATCGATACCTTGAAACCTGCACTGTCATCACCTTATGATGGACCTTTTGAAGTTCTCCATAGAACTGAAAAACATTTCACGATTAAGGAAAATGGGAAGGAAGCCACCATAAGCATTGACCGTCTCAAACCAGCTTTTCTTTTAAACACAGACTCAACAACATCAGATCCCGTACTAGAGGAAAAAGTTTCAACGCCAGCAGTTTCAACTCCACAAGTTCAATGTGAGCAGGGTGACTCTTTACCTGTTATGACTCGCTCTGGAAGAAAAGTCAGGTTTAA